ATGCACAAGTGGCGGTGGAATGTGTGAGCGCTGGGGGGATGCACGATTTCCAGGGAGGATACAGGAGTGTCCAGGAGGGATGCACGTGTACCAGGGTGGATGCGTGAGTGCCCGGGGGGTTAACACGCGTGACACGTGTGTCCCCCCCACTTATTTCCACTGCAGGTGAAGCTGGCGAGGCTGGGCTCCAGCGAGGGGGGAGCAGCACTGCTGGGAGGTAGGTTGGCCACGGGACGGTGGCTCTGTCCCTCTGCCACCTCCGTCCCCGCTGCTGCGGGTGCTCCCGGGACCCTCGCACGCTCGAGGACGCGGGTGCTGGGTGCCACCATGTGCCCTCCCAGGCTCCCGCCGCAGCTGTGGGGTACAGCGGGACGGGGGGACCCCCCCATCTACGCCGGGATGCTGGCCGTGGTCCAGGGAAAGGGCCACGCCGGTGGAACGGAGCCGGGTGCCGCCGTCCGAAGGTCCCTGGGGCTCAGCCTCGCTCCGCCGACCCAGCCGGGTTAATGATTTGCCCGGCCCGTGAACTTGGAGGAGCTCGGGGGTTCGGCGGGACTTTGAGCCAGCCCTTGGCCAGACGTGTGGGGTTGCACCCCTGGACACCCCCCCACGGCCGGGGTCACGGTAGCTAAAATGGGGGAAATCAGTAAAGTTAGCAGCAAGCAGCTACTTTCAGGTCCCTGGCACGGCGAAGAGGATGAGGATGCCCCAGGGCCATGGTGAAGGGGCTCGCAGGAAGCCGCACCGGCTGGTAGCTGCGTTCAAAAGCAGCTCCTGTAATTCCCAGTTACAGCAAAATATCCCAGTAAAACCTGCCACGAGTCCCAGTTACTCCAGCAGGAGCGTGTCAGCTGTTTTAAAATACTCCTTGACCTGCTCTGCGCCGGCAGAAAGGGAATTGCCTGGGGAAAGCTTTAAAAAAGATGTTTTAAAGTTCTAAACCTTCCCGCCGGATTAAGCATTCAGGCCATTTGCTTTTCCATGTAGCCGGGAACAAGTTTCTCTTCCCATTTACGCCAGGAATGCCTTATTTAGCATCACTGGATAACGAAGATGATTAAACCCCATGTATTAATTTCCCCTTCTCGCCACGCCGTGGCTGAGCTTCGAGATGCTCAAGCAAAATTCCTGCTCCTCCTTGCATTGCAATGGGGATCTCCTGAGTATTTTATGGGGTGGCCCCACCGGCCTGGCCCCCCATACCCCATTCCTGGGGCTGCGTTTCCCCACCTCGGCGAGGCACCCCTCGCCCTCTCCTGCTTTATTGCAGCAGGACGGGGAAGGGACACCCCCAAGACGAAGCCTCGGCCCTTTGGGGTGCAGCAGGCAGGATGCTGGGGTGCACCACGGTGCTTTTGCTCAGGGGGTGACACTGGGGGCTCATGTTGGGGTGCCTGTGTTGGGGTGCTCACATTGGGGTGCTCAGGTTGGGATGTCCGCTTTGGGATGCTCATGCTGGGGTGCTCACGTTGGGGTGCTCATGTTTGGATGGTCATGCTGGGGGACTCGCATTGGGGTGCTCACATTGGGGTGCTCATGTTGGGGGACTCATGCTGGGGGGCTTAGGCTGGGGTGCTCACACTGGGGATGTTCACATTGGAACTCGTGTGCTGGGGTGCTCACATTGCGGGTGCTCATGCTGGGATGCTAACAGAGTCCTCATGTTGGGGTGCCCACATTGGGGGGG